TCCATGGGGTCACAAAGAGTCAGACCTGACTGAGCTACTGAACTGAACTAATCCGGGGTGATTTTCCTGGAGGAAAAGATCACAGTTATACTAGCTATTAGATTCTAAATATTTGCTGTGGTCAAATTTAAAATTAAACTCCAAGCTTCCTGTCAGTCAAGGCCAAAACAAAGGAAAAGTAATCTTCGTATGTTTTGCTGTTTGTTCTAATGCTAACACTAAAACAAGGTTCTCAAGAGGAGATTTATATAGGGAGTAATAAGTGATGTAATGAACAATGTCCTCAACACCATTCCTATGATATAACCTATAATTCCATCCCACAAGTATTTGTGGGGTACTTATGAGTCAGGCACTATGCTCACTATTGGAGATAAAACAGTGAATGTGGTTGTTTCTTATCTAATTTCATAATTCAACCTGAGTTTGGGCATAATATTAAAGCCAACCCTCTGGGGACAATTTGGGGGGAGAAGGGCTTATTTCCCAAACCAAACTTGTATGATGGTAAAGCCAAGGTCACAATATCAGTTGTTCAGGGCCCCCCCTACCTACTACCCCTAATCCTTGCTGCTCTGCAGTCCCAGAGCATGATTTCAGGATTTCTAGCCTTTCTTTTATCTTTTTTAAAAAACTTTTAATTTTGTATTGGGGTATAGCCAATTAACAATGTTATGATAGTTTCAGGTGGACAGAAAAGGGACTCAGCCATACATATACATATATCCATTCTCTCCCAAACTCCTCTTCTATCCAGTCTAGCCTTTCTTTTAAAATGCAATTTATTAACATGACCAGGACTGCTGTACACAACACATCAAATATTTATAGGATTCCCCAAGTGTTGTCTCACATCTGCTGACAAACAGGGCTTTTATTAATAAATGACCTCAAGGAATCTATCATTTCTCCCTTACTCTCTCTGGCTTTTGGCAAAGATCTGCTGCTAAGACTGCTCCCCACCTCAACCACATACGTGTGTCCTGACAGCATGAGCTCAACAAGGTCAAAGGTGCTGCTCACGATGCCTCACAAGACTGTGCTGAGGCTGCCAGGGAACAGCAAGTGGACTAGGCTGACCTGTCCATTATGCAGAAAGGAATGGAACCCAGATGCCAACATTACATTGCCCTGGAGCTGCTCTGACATCCTAGAACTACCAGGGCTCCTGTAGCTGCTCAAATGCCAGGGCCCTTCTCTACTCAAGTCATACCACATTTTCACTCAACCTCTGAGAACATTTTTCCCCACTAAGGTTATATTTCATCACTCAGTTTCCGAAGCAGTGTTGTCTAGTGCTCCTGATATCTTACTAGGCTAGAAAAACAGCTTTCAGTTTCTAATAATATCAGAACACACAATAAGACTCTGAGAAATGAGTCCATGGGCTAGGCCAGGGAGAAAACTGTGACAATGTGCAGTGTTCCAAAATGACCCCTCCCAATGGTAGGACATTCAGAATTTTCTAGCCTGATGAAGAAGTTTAGACTCAGATCAGGAGCCATACTCCATAAGTATGTTGCCTTTACATCTGACCCAGTTTGACTCAATAATAGAATTCAGAATGATAAAAGAACTGGTTGGATGTTGTTAAAAAGAAAACCACAAGCCCCAAATGGCGTCGTTTGTGTTGCCAAAATCTTGGCTCTCTGTGCACCCATACCAGACAAATATAGAGACAGTTATGGAGGAGAAGGAAAGTGTGGCTTTATTATTTTGCCAGGCAAAGGGGGAACACAATAGGCTAGTACTTCAAGAACTGTGCCCCCCTCCCTGGTGAGTAGGGAGAGATTATATAGTCAGGCAGGATATATAGTAGGGAGAGATTATGTAGTCAGGCAGGATATGTGATAAGGCAGTAACAGTCTTCATTCTTTCTTCTTTAAAGTCTCAAAAGGGTGGGGTTGCCGACAAGATTAGAGTGTGCTGGGTCTCAGGTGGCTCATCTCCTAATCCTGTCCCTAGGACAGCAAGGAGATCAAACCAGCCAATCCTAAAGGAAATCCACCCTGAGTGTTCATTGGAAGGACTGATGCTGAAATTCCTATACTTTGGCCACCTGATGCGAAGACTCATTAGAAAAGACTGTGATGCTGGGTAAAACTGAGGGCAGGAGGAAAAGGGGGCGACATTGGGTGAGATGATTGGATGGCATCATTGATTCAACAGACATGAGTTTGAGGAAACTCTGGAAGATGGTGAAAGACAGGGAAGCCTGGCAGTGCAGCAGTTAACAAGGTTGCAAAGAGTCAGACTTGATTTAGCAACTGGACAACAATTTAATAAATGACCTCAAGGAATCTATCATTTCTCCCTTACTCTCTCTGGCTTTTGGCAAAGATCTGCTGCTAAGACTGCTCCCCACCTCAACCACATACGTGTGTCCTGACAGCATGAGCTCAACAAGGTCAAAGGTGCTGCTCACGATGCCTCACAAGACTGTGCTGAGGCTGCCAGGGAACAGCAAGTGGACTAGGCTGACCTGTCCATTATGCAGAAAGGAATGGAACCCAGATGCCAACATTACATTGCCCTGGAGCTGCTCTGACATCCTAGAACTACCAGGGCTCCTGTAGCTGCTCAAATGCCAGGGCCCTTCTCTACTCAAGTCATACCACATTTTCACTCAACCTCTGAGAACATTTTTCCCCACTAAGGTTATATTTCATCACTCAGTTTCCGAAGCAGTGTTGTCTAGTGCTCCTGATATCTTACTAGGCTAGAAAAACAGCTTTCAGTTTCTAATAATATCAGAACACACAATAAGACTCTGAGAAATGAGTCCATGGGCTAGGCCAGGGAGAAAACTGTGACAATGTGCAGTGTTCCAAAATGACCCCTCCCAATGGTAGGACATTCAGAATTTTCTAGCCTGATGAAGAAGTTTAGACTCAGATCAGGAGCCATACTCCATAAGTATGTTGCCTTTACATCTGACCCAGTTTGACTCAATAATAGAATTCAGAATGATAAAAGAACTGGTTGGATGTTGTTAAAAAGAAAACCACAAGCCCCAAATGGCGTCGTTTGTGTTGCCAAAATCTTGGCTCTCTGTGCACCCATACCAGACAAATATAGAGACAGTTATGGAGGAGAAGGAAAGTGTGGCTTTATTATTTTGCCAGGCAAAGGGGGAACACAATAGGCTAGTACCTCAAGAACTGTGCCCCCCTCCCTGGTGAGTAGGGAGAGATTATATAGTCAGGCAGGATATATAGTAGGGAGAGATTATGTAGTCAGGCAGGATATGTGATAAGGCAGTAACAGTCTTCATTCTTTCTTCTTTAAAGTCTCAAAAGGGTGGGGTTGCCGACAAGATTAGAGTGTGCTGGGTCTCAGGTGGCTCATCTCCTAATCCTGTCCCTAGGACAGCAAGGAGATCAAACCAGCCAATCCTAAAGGAAATCCACCCTGAGTGTTCATTGGAAGGACTGATGCTGAAATTCCTATACTTTGGCCACCTGATGCGAAGACTCATTAGAAAAGACTGTGATGCTGGGTAAAACTGAGGGCAGGAGGAAAAGGGGGCGACATTGGGTGAGATGATTGGATGGCATCATTGATTCAACAGACATGAGTTTGAGGAAACTCTGGAAGATGGTGAAAGACAGGGAAGCCTGGCAGTGCAGCAGTTAACAAGGTTGCAAAGAGTCAGACTTGATTTAGCAACTGGACAACAACAACTGATCCCTTTAATCTTGCCTCAGGTGGTTTCATTACTCTTTCTCCTTTGATTAGTAACTGTTCTGCCCTTTGGAACTCAGAGAAGGTCATGGAGGCTGGAGTCTTGCCTTCAAGGAATGGGTGACAACAAGCCCACCATGCCCAGGATCCCACAAGGCCTTGCTCAGCATCACTTGTACTAAAGTCCATGGTACCAAACAGAGATTTAGTATCTCTGTCAAATTGCAGTTTTAACCTTCCCTAGAAATGTAATGTTAATGGACCAGTCTGGAATTTTCTGGTTAAGCACCAGTAAGTTAAGCTATCAGAGAGTCCCTCTCCATCAACTCCCCCATCCCCGGCTGCAGAAGAGGCAATCTGCCTGATAAAACTCTTTCCAGTTCCTTTCTCCTCCCTCTTCCCAGTAGGGGAATCCTGCTTTTCTTTTATTACTACCATCTTTTCTTTTGTTAATACTTTCTTGCTCCACCCTCTGAAAAACCTTCCACTTTGTACAACCCATCCCAGCACCCTTCTAGTTGCTAGATGGGGTGCTGCCCAATTAATGCATAGTTGAATAAAGACAATTAAATCTTCAGATTTACTCAGTTGAATTTGTTGTTGGTTTTTTTTTTATGTCAATATACCCAGATACTCCTCACAACTTTCCTTTGCCTTGAGGACACAGATGTGCCCTGTTGCAAAGACCTGGAACAGAAGTTTGGAGCCGCAGTATATTCAGGAGAAACCAGATCAGCAGGTGGTTTAGGCTAGCTAAGAACTCTAGAGAAACCAGATCAGCAGGTGGTTTAGGCTAGCTAAGAAGCTTACTCACTGGGACATCTATAGACAAGGCCTGGATTTTTCCACAAGAAATATTCTGGATACAAGTAACGCATCAATGGGCTTGAACTTCTATATGTTTGCAACGATCTAAACCTCTTTAAACATAGAAGTGGGATATCAAATGATTAAATATAAAGCCCCCACCCCCCGCGCAGCCAAGAGTAATCATTTAGTAAGTGGTGCCTTGGCTCTTAACTCAGTAACTTCAAGGAAGTTTTCTATGCTCCCTAGACTCCAAATAGATGATCTACATTACCCATTTCTATCTATCCCTTTCTTCATGTCTCCTACCCAATCAGCCTGGCAAACTTGCCAATTCATTCCCTCACACAGGCCGCCCTGCCGCGGAGACTTGCAGCCCGCTAGCCCACTGCAGAGGGCGGGGTAATACCTCCAGCTGGGGCCCGCGGCGCGCAGCCTTGTGGGAGTTGTAGTTCTCGCAACTCAGAGTCCCCGGACAGGCGTCACCACGGGACTCGTTTTCCCGTGCTCCTTTGCGCGGGTCCACTTGGGGCAAGTCCCTGGGTAGGTGAGAAAGTGGCTGGCTGCTTGCTTATTAAAAAGTGGAGTTCAGCAGTCTTTGTTAATGGAGCCACTGCCACGGAGGAACTCAGGGCGTATTTCTGTCCCGTCAAGAGTGCTGGAGGCCGAACTTGAAATACAAGTTTAAGGTTCCCTAGAGGACGAAAGATCAGGAGCCGAGCTCCCGGCTCCCGGTATCCCCGCCCAGTCTGCTGCAGGAGTGGCCAACCCCGACCCGGGTTAAAACTCCCGGGAAGTCTTCGCTGCTCCCACTCTGGGTTCCCTTCAAAGCTGGGAGTCGTAGTGGGCGGCTGGATGTGTGCGCCCTCCGGTTCCCGGGAACTTAGGGGAGGCTGCTGAGCCCCGTCGCCCGCAGGGGACTTGTATTCGCTTTCTGCACTCTCACCCCGAAGGGTTGAGAAGGGTTTCCACCATGATCTCCCGGGTCTTCAAGCTGCGCATGTGGACCCCCGTGGGCGTCCTGACCTCGCTAACCTACTGCCTCCACCAGCGGCGGGTGGCCCTGGCCGAGCCTGGGGGCGCGGACGACCAGAATCCTGTCGACCGAAGCCTGTTGGAGTTGAAAATGGTGCAAGTCGTGTTTCGACACGGGGCACGGAGCCCTCTCAAGCCGCTCCCTCAGGAGGACCAGGTGAGAGAGACCGGCACGGTTGGGGAGCGAGAACTGTGTGGCCAGCTAGTGGCGGGCCAGGGTCTTTGCCCCGACGCACACCATCTTTGGAATTTTACTCTTATGGAGCGGGAATTCGGACTTGGTCCTGACGAAGGGAAAACAGTGTGAACAAATGTGCTGACCATGTACCTCCAACCTCTCCCAGCCCCCTCGGACACCCGGATTGTGGGGCAGCCCGGAAACTTCCCATGGCTGCGATGTAGCCCAGCTAGTAGTATGCTTCCCTAGGTGCGTATAAATCGCGTAGGGATCTTGCTAAAAATGTGGATTCAGTAGATGTGGGAGCGGAAACTATATTTCTAGTGAATATTTGTGGGAACTTGAGTACAAGGGTGTAATGCAGTTCTGTGTGACCATTTTAATGGTTGTCAAAGAGTTACAGGGACCTTTGTGACAGGAACCACCCTGACTGGGATCACAGTGGATAAGAGAGGTTAATAATGCCTTTGGGAAGGGACCTCCCTTGTGGCTCAGTGGTGGCTCCTGCCAATGCAGGAGACAGGGATTCGATTTCCTGGGTGGGGAAGATCCGGGGCAGATGGAAATGGCAGCCCACTCCAGTATTCTTGCCTGGAAAATCCCATGGACAGAGGAGCCTGGCGAGCTATAGTCCATGGGATTGCAAAAGAGTTGGAGTGACTTAGCGACTAAACAACAAAACCAACACCACTTTTGGGAACAGATTTTACCTCAACTTTCTCTCTGGGTTTTCTGGAGGCTGTTTGAGATCCTGAAGATTTTTTTGGCAACAAGTGCTGTATCTTGGGGCTCTCCTTTTTCATTCTGGGTTCCTAAACTTATTGTAGAAGGGATCTGGGGTACAAAAAAACAAAATTAATTGATCAGTCTTAAAATCCACCTGGTTTTGCTCAGGATAATTATGATTAAAGTACAAATAGCTGGTTTTGAAGATGATTACCCTTTTTGGATTTGATTCTTAGGGAGACCCAGTAAAGATCTCTGGCCTTTCATAGCAGGCACGCCTGCCTGTGATTAAAGAATTGTCTTCCTAATGAAGATAAATTGCAACCTGGAATTCCCAGGCATCCAGGTGGCAAACTTACCTGTGGGGTGCTTTTGCATTGTTGGTTCTCCAGGTTGATGTTGGAGTAGGTTCAGCAGGATGTCCAAATTGATATTAGGCATACTCATGACAGTTGCTTTTAAGAAATCCTCAGAGTTCTACAACTCATGGTGTACAACTGAAAACCCAGTTTTTAAAGCTGGCCACACGTGAAATCAAACCTCAAAGCATTTCCCACATAATAAATCTTGGTAGGCACTTAAATTCTGTTATCAAGTTTCTAGTTAGCCTTTCTATATGGCTATTCCACATTCTGTCGGGAACTTGAACTTCACTCCTTTCCTTCTCTTTCTTTCCTTATTCGAATATCTGGATACTTCAAGTTTTGTACATAGCCCATCTCTTGTGTACTCCCCTTTCTTCTCCATTTATTCTTGGTACAGAATTGTTGTTCAGTCGCTCAGTTTTCCTAATGAAGATAAATTGCAACCTGGAATTCCCAGGCATCCAGGTGGCAAACTTACCTGTGGGGTGCTTTTGCATTGTTGGTTCTCCAGGTTGATGTTGGAGTAGGTTCAGCAGGATGTCCAAATTGATATTAGGCATACTCATGACAGTTGCTTTTAAGAAATCCTCAGAGTTCTCCAACTCATGGTGTACAACTGAAAACCCAGTTTTTAAAGCTGGCCACACGTGAAATCAAACCTCAAAGCATTTCCCACATAATAAATCTTGGTAGGCACTTAAATTCTGTTATCAAGTTTCTAGTTAGCCTTTCTATATGGCTATTCCACATTCTGTCGGGAACTTGAACTTCACTCCTTTCCTTCTCTTTCTTTCCTTATTCGAATATCTGGATACTTCAAGTTTTGTACATAGCCCATCTCTTGTGTACTCCCCTTTCTTCTCCATTTATTCTTGGTACAGAATTGTTGTTCAGTCGCTCAGTCGTGTCCAGTTCTTTGCGACCCCATGGACTGCAGCACGCCAGGCTTCCCTGTCCTTCACTATCTCCTAGAGCTTGCTCAGTTTCATGTTCATTGAGTTGGTGATGCCATCCAACCTTCTTGTCCTCTGTCATCCCCTTATCCTCTTGCTTTCAAACTTTCCCAGCATCAGGGTCTTTTCTAATGAGTTGGCTCTTTGCATCAGCTGGCCAAAGTATTGGAGCTTCAGTATGAGTCCTTCCAATGAATGTTCAGGATTGATTTCCTTTAGGATTGACTGGTTTGATCTTGCAGTCCAAGGTACTCTGCAGAGTCTTCTCCAACACAACAGTTGAAAAGCATCAATTCTTTGGTACTCAACCTTCTTTGGTCCAACTCTCACATTCATGCATGACTACTGGGAAAACCCATAGCTTTGACTAGATGGACCTTTGTTGGCAAAGTAATGTCTCTGTGTTTTAATATGCTGTCTAGCTAGGTTGGTCATAGCTTTTCTTCTGAGGAGGAAGTGTCTTTTGATTTCATGGCTGCAGTCCCTATCTGCAGTGATTTTGGAGCCCAAGAATAAAAGTCTGAATGTGTAGGCCTGGACCTCTTTCAGACAGTATGTGTGTTCCCTGAAGGAACCGGAAAAAGATTTAGATTCTTTTAGGGCTTTCTCCTGAGCCAGTGAGTGTGTGATGGGTATCTCTGCCTTTATGTTGGAAGGAGCAGTCATAGCTAAGGTAGAATGCCAGCTTCATTCATCTTCTGTTTTTGTAGCCACAAAATATGGTGCATTTGAATCCTTGGTCTCATTTTGCAATTAAATAAGGCACATTACCTCTCAGGCCTGCTCACGTTTTCAGATTTTATGTAGGTGCGCTGAACGCCTTTGGTTATTCTGTATAAAGTCTTGTGCATAAAAGCAAGGGGTATAACCAACCTTTGTTCAACTTAGGCTATGAGCGGGTGTCATCAGCCTCCTATGACTTGTTTCTGGCTATTCTATCAGGATTTTTTTCTAAACTCCAGTTTGATAGAGGTTGTTAATGGGATTTCCTAGTCTTCCTGGTTCTGCTATTAATTAGAGTCAGAAAGGACTATTTGGCGGCAGTTCTAAAACTGAAATTGCCTTTGGTAGATGTTTCCAGACTTCTGACTGGTTTATAGATGGTTTATAGATAAACACATGACAAGTCAATCCTTAGAAAATATCATTGTTTAAAACTAGATGTTTTATTGAGTTTTTTTAAAATGATTGAATGACTGATGAATTAACTTGTCTTCCTGAAAGTATTGTATCTGTGCTCTGGAAATAAAACTCTGGAACTTGATTGGTCATTTTTTCTGATTGTTAGATTAGATCCAAGTATGCTTTTCAAAGATAAATTTGACCTTACTTTTGGATTTTTGTCAGCTTCTATTTCATGGCAAATAGCCCCCAACGCAGGAAGACTCCAGTTTTTAGAAAATAAACTCCAATGCATTCAAACTCCACGGTTCATGAAGACATTGCTGCTAAATCGCTTCAGTCGTGTCCGACTCTGTGCGACCCCATAGACGGCAGCCTACCAGGCTTCTCCGTCCCTGGGATTCTCCAGGCAAGAACGCTGGAGTGGATTGCCATTTCCTTCTCCAGTGCATGAAAGTGAAAAGTGAAAGTGAAGTCACTCAGTTGTGTCCGACTCTTCACAACCCCATGGACTATACAGCCTACCAGGCTCCTCTGTCCATGGGAGTTTCCAGGCAAGAGTATTGGAGTGGGTTCCTATTGCCTTCTCCATATGAAGACATTAGAGTCCATATTTATTCTATAGTGTAAATGAGCCGGGAAGAATAATGTCAGGTGGGCTGGGAAGGATGATGTCAGTATCATTGTAGATTAACACTTACTCAAAGCTCAGCTAAGATAAGTGGTTTTCAGGAAGCATTACTTAAAGGATGTGCCAGTCAGTCCATTAATTCCTGTGCAGTGGTGGTTCTTAACCTTGGTGGGACATTGGATTCAGCTGGGGAACTTTAAAAAATACTGAAGCCTACGTCTCTCTCCCAGAGATTCTGATTTAATTGGCTCAGAGCATCCAGTCATGATAAAAGTTTCTCTGGTGAAGCTTTATAATTATCTAGACTGAGTAGCATTTGAAAAACTGAGCCCCATCCCTGGGAGATTTGGTTGTGATTAACCCATGCAGGGCTCAGGCATCAGTAACTTAAAAAAATTTTTCCAGCTATAGTAGTGTGCAGTGTGCAAGCTTTCAAATCATTAGTTTATTCTGAGAACTACCCCTGGAAGTTTTTGTTTACTTTTATGTAGATTTTTTTCCCTCTTTTCCCTGGGATGTAACATTGATCCCTGTATAGTATCGTCTTCATGGAAATGTGCTTTGGTAAGATACTATCATTCTGTGTCGAGGGAACAATAAGAAACAATCCCACAAAACTCATTGCTGTGACTACTGAAAAGATGTTCATTATATTACTCTATCCTCTTTATGAGGACCCTTGGGAGGAATTTGTCTGTTCACTTGAGAAATGGTGTGCTTCTTCTGAACAGTTGGCTTGCTTTTATCTTTAAGCTTGTCTAGCTGATCAGGTTTCTCCTTTTACATAAAAGCCAGAAAGCTTAGTGCTGAATCTTTTGGCCCACCTACAGTAAGTATATAGATCTTCACAGCATGTATTAATATTTTTTGAGAAACTTTATTGCTGTGTCCATTTTTTGGGTCACTCACTTGCTTTTGTCGTTCTTTTCGACTTTGAATTGGTTATCTTGGGAATTCCCTGGCGGTCCAGAGGTTAGGATTCCATGCTTTCACCGCTGAGGGCAGAGGTTCAATCCCTGGTCAGGGAACTAAGATCCCATAAGCCTCATGGTGCAGCCAAAAAATAAATAAATAAATAGGTTATCTTGCTATATTTTAGGTATTGCTACCACCTACTTCAAGTTAGTTCTTGAAAATGGAGTGTAAATAAATAAAATTGCAAAGTTACTCTTTGCTACTGACTCTGGATTGAAAAATAGGAGCAAGAATGACAGTATGTATGTGGGATGGACACTATGTGTGGAAATGATGTATCATCCATTCTTGAAAGTCTGAAAACGTGTATTTTAGACTTGACGTGACCTAGACCTCAGGAGTCATCTCCTAGGGGAACCAGAAGTCCTCTGTTGGTGAATACACCTAACAGGAGAAGACTTTTTAGTGTGGCTGAGCAGGCCTTATGGATCTGGTGTCAGGACCTGTGCTCAGACACTGGACTTACATGGATGGATAATTCAGTCTCAGCTATAAAAAAAGAAGAGAGTCTACAGTGTGATGAAGAAGAGAGACAAAACAAACTCCAGTTATGGGAATATGCTGGGAATGCTGGAAACTCAGAGGAGATATCTCAAACTTAAATTGTACAAAGCTGAACTCAGTTTGTTAACTATTCTGTCTTGGCCTCAGTTTTAATCAAGAGGTACCTCCATCACCGCTTACCACCTCATGCGCCCAGACTCCAAGTCAAAGTAATTTTTTTCTTTATTCTTTCTTGTTCACCTAGAAATATAGCCTCCCCGCCAAAAAAAAAAAAAAAAAAAAAGCTTTTATCTACTTACTTGCCAGGATTGACGCAGTGTCTTGAATTCACTGCTTCTGTCCTGACTGCCTTAGATGAGCCCTTAGGCGCTCGCTGGCTCTAGTACAGACATCTTGAAATTGGCTTTTTCTGTGTTGAGTCTTCCGTTTCAGTTGTGACCTATCTGATAGCCCTCAAACCATTCTGTGGAGCCTGTGGCTCAAGGGATGCTGAGTGCCTGGGGCTCTGAGTTCCCTCTCCTGCTTCAGCTAGAGAAACTCCAGGCCTTTTTATGGCTGAGTAATATTCCATTGTATAAATGCACCACAACTTCTTTATCCATTCATCTGTTGAAGGACATCAAGGTTGTTTCCATGTCCTGGCTATTGTAAATATTGCTGCACTTTACAATGGCTATTGTAAATATTGAGGTACATGTATCTTTTAGAATTGTGGTTTTCTCAGGGTATATGCCCAGTAGTGGAATTGCTAGGTCACATGGTAGATTTATTCTTGGTTTTTAAAGGAATCTCCATACTGTTTTCCATGATGGCTGTATCAGTTTACATTCTCACCAGCAGTGCAGGAGGGTTCCTTTTTCTCCACATCTTCTCCAGCATTTACTGTTTGTAGGGTTTTTTTTTTTTTGGTGATGGCCATTCTGACTGGTATGAGGTGATACTTCATTGTAGTTTTGATTTGTATTTCTCTAATAATGAGCAATGTTGAGCATTTTTTCATGTATTAGTAATAAGATTTTATGAAGCTTCCCTGGTGGCTCAGTAGTTTCAATGCAGGAGAGATGGGTTCAATCCTTGGATCAGGAAGATCCCCTGGAGAAGGAAATGACAACCCACTTCAGTATTCTTGCCTAGGAAATCCCATGGACAGAGGAGACTGACAGGCTATAGTCCATGGAGTTGCAGAAGAGTCAGATACGACTTAGCAACTAAAAACAATGACAAGGATTTATACTCTAATAATAAGATAAAAGAAGGACCAGTGGGAATGACGTTTTTTTCTAGCCAGTGATCCACAGGGTTTGGGGTGGAAATGGGGGAGCAATGGGAAGATTCAGGTTTGAGTTTTAGGGATTAGAATTGGGGTAGCCTTGAGAGTCATAATGAGTTGGGATGAGGAGCTGGCATGTGGAATTAGAAAGAAAGACTTGTTTTTAAAATTGAGTCATCACATCCGACTCAATGAATATAAGAATTTTATGGGCTGTTGGAGCTATGAGGCCTTTGACTACTTGTTATGTTTTGAAAACCAGTACAGTTGGAGCAGGAGCCAGATTACGGGGAGTAAAGGTGTCTTAGAGGGCAGCTACTTGTTTGAGAAATTGGATGAAAGGAAGAGATATATGTAGTAGTTCAAGGGGCATTAAGTAGAGTCTTTAATGAGGGGCCACAAAACCCTGCAGGTTGGTTCCTTAAAAATTCTTACAAGTATATGGTCACTGAGATTGTATTATATTCATTCATTTGTTCATTTATTCTTTCACCAAGTATTGGGTGCCAGACCCTCTGGCCGCTTCTGCCCTTTATTTCAGTCTGGGCTTGGTGCCAGAATCGCCCCTCAGCGGTGAGTACTAGTGTGACAATTACAGGACTTGGGCTGAGGACACTTGGAATAATAAATTGCAGTCATTTCTTCCCTTAATTGGAGCTGGAGTTGAAGTTTCTTTCCTTCTTCCCATCCTTCTTGGGAAGGTTGCTCGTCTAGCATCAGTGTTATTCTAGCTATGTGCTGCCAGGTGTTAACACTCTAAAGTTTCCAGAACCTTTTTAAGCAATGTGTTGTTTTTTTTGTGCTCACAGCAGGTAGAGTGGAAGCCCCAGCTAATAGAGGTCCCACCCCAAACTCAGCTTGATTACACAGTCACCAATCTTGCTGGTGGCCCGAAACCACACTCTCCTTTCGACTCTCAGTACCGTGAGACCACGCTGAAGGTGAGCGATGCTTTCCTGCTCTCTGAAGCGCCTTGCAGAGCTGTGATGGTCTGCCCTGGGCTGAGGTTATTTAGCAGGCTGTGAGATTTCTTCATTCTTCTCTCTCCTCCCACACCTCAGGGGGGCATGTTTGCTGGACAGCTGACCAAGGTGGGCATGGAGCAGATGTTTGCCCTTGGGGAGAGGCTGAGGAAGAACTACGTGGAGGACATCCCCTTTCTTTCGCCAGCCTTCAACCCACTGGAGGTCTTGTGAGTCACTTGAGAAAGGAATATTGCACCCAGTGTTAGGTCTTGAGTGTGAGAAAACCTGTCCTGACCCTCTGTGCAGTTCCCACTCTCATCCGAGGCGGTCTAGGTGGGAGGTGTGAGGGTGATCTGGCTGGCTAGGCTGGTGTCCCCTTCCTCTCTCACTTTCCTGTGTGTATCCCTCCTGATGCTGCATGCTCTGTCGAAGAGGACGACCTTCCCTGAGAGAGGAGAACCGTTCTTCAGTCAAGGGTATACAAGAAGCTGCGTTTCCTTGCTAGAACCTCCTAGGCAGTCTGGGGACAGTTACCCTAATATGATAGGATTTGGAGGACAAGTGGTCCCTGGAGGTCATGTTCACTGGCCCTCAGGTCCCTTGGGCAGCCATCCCACAGAGAGAAGGGTATTTCCCAGCCCTCTAGCTCCCTTTTGGGGCTTCCCCGGTGGCTCAGATGGTAAAGAATCTGCCTGCAGTGCAGGAGACCCACGTTCGATCCCTGGGTTGGGAAGATCCCCTGGAGAAGGGAATGGCCACCCAGTCCAGTATTCTTTTTTTTTTTTTATTAATAATTTATTGTCAGTAAGAAAGACTGGTTAATGGTAGTTTTCAGTAAAAACCTTTACAAGACCTTGCATCACAAATATACAGACACTATAAAAATTATGTCCTGGTGGTTTTGGTTCTAAACGATTCTACAGAAGGTCCTCATTACACTTTCCAATAATGAAAAATGTTTATAACCCTAAAATACAGCAACCCATTTATTTAAGACATGTTCATGGATCAGGTCTGTCCTCATCCTATGTACAGCTGACTATACTGAATGACTATACTGAAATGTATGAATGAAATGTCCTACTTAAGTAGAAAAGGACAGAGAGTGAAACCTTGGTTATATTAAAAAAAAAAAAATCAGTGTGCTAGGTAAATAACACGAACACCACCAAAATCCGGTCAAAAACAAAATGCACGAAGTTATCTTGAAAATCTAGGGGAAAATTATGAAAAATCAAATCTGTACATAAAATTTACAAAAAAAAAGACAGGAAAATTAAAATAATCAAATCTGTGTAAATACATGAATCATGCTAAAGACAGAGAGAACCAGTCCAGTATTCTTGCCTGGAGAATTCTATGGACAGAGGAGCCTGGCAAGCTATAGTCCACGGGGTCGCAAAGAATCAGGCACAAGTAAGTGACTAACACTGTAGTAGCTCCCTCTATGTAGTTTAGAAAGCCTATGAGTGCTCTGTGGAATAAGGTAGTGTGCACATGTAAATCTTCCTTCTATGAGTTTCTCTATGTTTTTGTTTTGTTCCCAGCATCCGTTCCACTAACATCTATCGGAACCTGGAGTCTACCCGCTGTTTGCTGGCTGGACTTTTCCAGCGTCAAAAAGAAGGTTCGAGTCCAGGGTCTACAAGTCAGCCCCTGTCCCTGAGGTGCCTTTTCGTCTTGCTTCCAAAGCCCCGCTCTCTCTTTCTGGATGTCTGTCCCCACCTGGGTCTCTCTCCTGCTCCTGGGGCCTCTCTGGGGTACCAGCTGGGCGGCGGGCCCCTCCCTGTTTGGCCTGCCGCTGCACTGCCAGCCTGACCTCACACCTACACCGACATGTCAGCTGCTCTGATGCACCCCTGGCTCCTGACTTTTTCTCTCAAGTGTCTACACAAGCTGCATAAGGTAGCTGCAGCCAGATTTTTCAAACAATACCTGGGACTTTTTGTTTAGTTGAGACACTGCTGGAAAGGAAGGAGAGTAAGAGGAACTCTTCACTGGGACCCAGGCCTGCTGCCACGGCCCTGGTCTTGGTGATAATCCACAGCATAACCCAGGTGGTAACAGTGTCCCATATGCCCTTTCCCAGTTAAGGAAGTCTGTTGAGTTTGGGTTTTGACATATTCAGCCAGTGAATGATCACACTAGTGGGTTCTGCAACTTTCCACCCTCAAGGACCACGTCTATTATTTTCCCTTATGGATCTCATGTAATTGAGGGCTTTTGACTATCAAGTGAAGCTGCATTTTGTCATTTGTAATTGATTCAAATTTACATATGGACAGAGGAGCCTGGCAAGCTATAGTCCACGGGGTCGCAAAGAATCAGGCACAAGTAAGTGACTAACACTGTAGTAGCTCCCTCTATGTAGTTTAGAAAGCCTATGAGTGCTCTGTGGAATAAGGTAGTGTGCACATGTAAATCTTCCTTCTATGAGTTTCTCTATGTTTTTGTTTTGTTCCCAGCATCCGTTCCACTAACATCTATCGGAACCTGGAGTCTACCCGCTGTTTGCTGGCTGGACTTTTCCAGCGTCAAAAAGAAGGTTCGAGTCCAGGGTCTACAAGTCAGCCCCTGTCCCTGAGGTGCCTTTTCGTCTTGCTTCCAAAGCCCCGCTCTCTCTTTCTGGATGTCTGTCCCCACCTGGGTCTCTCTCCTGCTCCTGGGGCCTCTCTGGGGTACCAGCTGGGCGGCGGGCCCCTCCCTGTTTGGCCTGCCGCTGCACTGCCAGCCTGACCTCACACCTACACCGACATGTCAGCTGCTCTGATGCACCCCTGGCTCCTGACTTTTTCTCTCAAGTGTCTACACAAGCTGCATAAGGTAGCTGCAGCCAGATTTTTCAAACAATACCTGGGACTTTTTGTTTAGTTGAGACACTGCTGGAAATGAAGGAGAGTAAGAGGAACTCTTCACTGGGACCCAGGCCTGCTGCCACGGCCCTGGTCTTGTTGATAATCCACAGCATAACCCAGGTGGTAACAGTGTCCCATATGCCCTTTCCCAGTTAAGGAAGTCTGTTGAGTTTGGGTTTTGACATAATTCAGCCAGTGAATGATCACACTAGTGGGTTCTGCAACTTTCCACCCTCAAGGACCACGTCTATTATTTTCCCTTATGGATCTCATGTAATTGAGGGCTTTTGACTATCAAGTGAAGCTGCATTTTGTCATTTGTAATTGATTCAAATTTACACTTAATTACTGGTCTGAGTTTCAGATCTTCATGACCTCACCAATATTAAAATACTCAAATGATACCATAAGGCAAAAGTTCTTGTTACTTTGTTTAACTTCTTTAGCCTTATCTCAAATAGAGATAAAATTTCCATGAGGCTTTTAAAAAGTGTAAGATACAGAAACTCCAGACCAAAGGAGGCTGGCCTTGCTCCTAGCTAGTTTGGACTATGGCTGCTAATTCTGGCTGACGTTGGCTGAACACAAACAGCCTAAGTAACAGAGCAAACAGGATGGCCTGCTCCTTACCTTTTGCGAGCCCCTGAGCTTAGGAATAGTCTATAGTGCATGGCCTTCTGAAAACTGTTCACTTGCTCAGTTTCTGAAAGGCAAATGTCCTGTCCCCAGAACCCCCTAAAGTATAAGTAATGTAGAAAGGGTGTTTTTTGTTAGCAGCCTGATCTACAGGCGGGTCTCAGACTCAGGCTGCCCCAGGTTTCCTGCGAGGAAGGAAGTGGTATCATCACCAACTGCTGGTGTGGCTGCCTGGGTAGCCGTTCCCTGCGCTGGACTCAGACAGCCTCACACTCCAACTTGACTTGTGTCCTGGCTACTTCCTTGCCTTGGCCAGTATCATGGGATTTGGATAGACCAAAGAACCCCACAAGGTGCTAACATTGGTGGGAGTGGTTCACCTTTGGGTTATTGTTTCAAGAGTAAAATCCTAGCGAAATCCAAGAAGGTTCTGAGTAAGCTCCAGAGAATCAGGCCAGTGGCGAAGGGCTGAGGGGGTTGCTCTATATCATTTGGTCATTCGTTCCTTCAACACATATATGAGTGCCAGCTCAAATACTGTATTTATCATAAACTGAAGGTCTGTTAACCAGACATTCATGGCAGGTACCAGGTAGGACTTACCATGTGTTAATTAGAGGCTTACATCATAGTTACTATTATTCTCACATTTAAAGGACATCAAGCATAGTTCTAAGATCTTTGCAGATACTGACTTAATTCTTGTGATGTAGGTAGCATCCCTATTTTACAGATAAGAGAACTTAAGGCAGAGGATAAAGGACTGTCTGAGGTACATGAAGCTAGTAAATGGAGGAACTGGGATTCAAATTCTGGCAGTCTGGTTTCACAGTCCATACTTTTCACTCTTGTGCCATCTTGCTTCCCAGAAGACTTGGGTATCTGGAGAGGGCCTCTGATCCTGAGGTCTGTTTTACGTGTCCTGCAGAACTCCAGGATTCTTCAGAGGGGTTAGGAACTACAGAAAAGGAGTGGAATGAGGCATGCAAGTACACCGTGCTTCAGACCCCTGCCTTGAAGCCCTCAACCCCTTTACTTTCATTACCTTATTTCATAGTGGGAGAAGAAAAGCTCCCACTACTTTAGAAACAATTGGAAATTGCTGGTACTAGTCTCACCCCTTCAATTTACATGTGATTCCCCAAAGAAGAGAAGTGACTTCCCAAAGTCATCCTGTTGGTTGGTTGTAGATTCAGGGCTAAACTCATGACACAGTCTGATTTCCTTCTCCTGCCCAGACCAGCCAAGTGTGTGTGAATTCTGGTATTCTGCTCAAGTTACCATAGGCTGGTCTTTAATCCTGAGGTTTTTACTATCAGTAATTTGTTTGGGAATGGTAGTTCTTTGGGGTTTGGATTCACCGGAGGGCTTCCCAGGTGGCACTAAATAATCTGCCTGCCAGTGCAGGAGATACAAGAGATGTAGGTTTGATGGCTGGGTTGGGAAGATCACCTGGAGTGGGAAATGGCAACACACTCAGTATTCATGCCTGGAAATTCCATGGGCTGAGGGCTTGGCGAGCTATAGTCTATGGGGCCGCAAAGAGTTGGATACAACCGAGTGACTGACCACATAATATAGCAGTTATTCCACAGACTGACCTCAGTGAATTCCATAAAGCTCCTCTGCCATCAGAGAAGAAGAGGCTTGAGCTGTGTAGAACAGGACGCTGGTGCAGAGCAAAGCATGTAAAGGTGTTAAAGCACCTCCCTTGGGCATTGACAGGAGATGAGGGTTACCTGTCAGCTCTGAGCAGGAGCAAGCTGCTGCGAGGTGTGTAAGAGACACTGTAGTCTTAATCTTTGGTTCCTGCTAGTGCGTCTAGAAGCCTGGCTTTTCTTTTGGGCAAGGCCATGGGGTCTTAGAGGATTTGTGACCCTGTGGGCACCTTTCTCAGATCGTTTCATAAGTCACCATACTGGTGTATGCATGCATGCATGCTAAGTTGCTTCAGTCGTGTCCGACTCTTTGTGACCGTATGAACTGTAGCCCACCAGGGTCCTCTGTCCATGGGATTTTCCAGGTAAGAATACTGGAGTGGGTTGCCATGCCCTCCTCCAGGGTATCTTCCCAACCCAGGGATTGAACCTGCATCTTACTTTTCCTGCATTGGCAGGAAGGATCTTTACCACTAGTGCTGCCTGGAAAACCTATATTGGCCTATAGGTTTGCAAAGCAAGAAATCACCTTGTTCTGCTAAAGTAAAGGATGGCCCATTTGTTAGAATCTCTGAGTGCTGGTAGTATCTTGAGGCAGGCATTTTTTTTTGGAATGTGTCATAGATGTGCCTGGAGTAGGAAATAGCTTCCTATTCCAGTATGGTTGCCTAGAAGATCCCATGGACAGAGGAGCCTGGCAGGCTACAATACATGGGGTTACAACGAGTCGGACGCGACTGAGCATGGAGGTGCCAGTCTGATCAGGTCTGTACCTGCTCCCGGCTGTAGGTAGCCCAGCAAGAGAACCAGGCTGCTGCATGCTTTGTCAGACCACAGGGGAGCTCCTGTTGGCAAAGCCAGGGCATGTTGAGGGCACTTACTGTCCTTAAGGAGTAACCTGGATGATGGCCTCTGGGAGCAGCTCCATCTGTGTAGACAAAGAGAAGAAGAAGGGGGTGGAGCTGCCGGGAAGAGTAAGCTGAAGCCTCTTCCTGCCTGTGCTTTCCCACCTTCCTTCCAGGACCCATCGTCATCCACACTGACGAAGCAAGCTTGGAAGTCTTGTACCCCAACTACCAATACTGCTGGAACCTGCAGAAAAGAACCAGGTAACTGCTCCTGATTCTTGTTCCTCAGGGTGGGGGTACAGGCAGCATTGTACCACCTCTGCCAGCAGACTGGCTGTGCCGGTGGATATTGGGTAGGAGAGATGGCATTAAACTTGGGTCTGACATCAGCTGTCCAGGATGGGAGGCAGCTGTTGCTCACAGGACAGGCTCATGGTGAAGGTACAGGACAGCCAGGGAGACCCACACGCTGGGCTGAGAGATGGTGTATACAGCCACGCGTGGGGCTTCACCATTTACCGAGCATTGTCCTTTGTGTTCAGTCCTGGGCTCTCAGATGGGGTAACTTAAGAAACTTATGGAAAAGATGAGTAAGCCAGTCATTAACTGCAAATCTAGATGGGCACGCCAAAGAAGACACAGATTCCCCTTCTCTTACCAATGTGCTGCTGTGTAGTTTTGGAGCTGATGGCACTATTCAGGTTTCAGGTATTTTGGAACTGCCCTTACACTATGTAGAAGGTGTTCCCCAGAAGAAGGAGACGTGTTTTCAAGCAGACCTGGCCGCGCTTGCATTGTTTTGGGTATAATAGAAGGGAATGCTAGAATGGGATTTGGAAAATCCATTATTCAAGCCCTGGTATGTACTAAGTCACAAGTCAACTGGCCTCGTAGAGTTTACCCATCTTTAAAATGACAATTATACTAGCTAACCCCAATGAGTTTTTGAAAGGCAAATGAGATCCTAAATGATGAATGAGATACACTTTGTAAACTTAATAACCATACAGTATAAAGAAATATAAGGAATAACTTTTTTATTTTTCGGCAGAGGCCGGAGGCAGGCTGCTTCTTTGCAGCCAGGAATCTCAGAGGATTTGAAGAAAGTGAAGGAAGAAATGGGCATTGCCAGTAGTGATAAAGTGGACTTCCTCGTCCTGCTGGACAACATGGCTGCTGAGCAGGTGGGCTGGCTGTCCTCCTCGGGCTCTGGGAGGGTGGGGGAGCCTGGGCAAGACCTGGTGGGCTGGCTCCTGAGTTAGAAGTGGGTGGAGGCCTCCTGGCCTGGAGGCGGCTGTGAAAGCACTTGCTGGCAGAATGGACCTGGGAACTGAGGGGTAGGGTGGACTCCTCACCAGATGAGGAGCATAGACATTTAAACTCTTGACCAGAGTTCCTTGAAGCATATTCGCTAGAATACCCATGATGCAAATGTGTATAATGTGGGCAGGCAGGGCTGGGGTGGGTGATGGGTAGGGAGGGATTGTGGTCTAAAAAGTTTGGAATGCCTCTTTATTGTATCACTTTTTAGAGAGTCTGTATGCACGTCAGCCTATTAAAGAACCCAAGAGCACTGTGGTAAAGAAAACTGGTTAATCTTTAATTCTGTTTTTCTCAAGCTTGTTTAGCCCTAGAATCTTTTTTTTCCAATAAATACTGAAGGCCACACAATGGGAAATGCTGCTCCACATTCAGAAGTCAGACTCCCTAAGTCTGTACAGCCTGAATCCTCCTTCCTTCTCTTGTGAAGATGACAGTGTGCCCTGAATGCAGAAACGCACCTTATGCTTATGTGTAAAATAGGTTTAAGGTTATAAAACAAGAGTTGATAAAGTATTTATATGGCATCCTTTTTAGAAACCATTTTGGGGATGATGAAGGATGAGTAAGAATTTATGAATCCCTTGCCTTGTATTTTATTTAATTTTTTTTTTTTAGCTTAAAAGAACACAAATGTTTTTTACTTTGGAGTAGATGAGCATCAGAAAGAGAGGAGAAAACAATTTTTCTCTGGACCTTCAGATCTGGAGGAAAAGCTTCTGACAGGCCTTGGGGACATAGAGTTTTGAGCCAGTCTCTCTCTGGGAGAAGACAGTTCCCTTGGACTCCATGGAAGCGGATCGGCCACCAGGCTTATTGGATGAGTATTTCTTTCTGAAACTGTACCCATGGCCCGTTCAGGTGCACAACCTCCCGAGCTGCCCCACACTGAAGAGGTTTGCATGGATGATTGAGCAGAGAGCTGTGGACACAGCCTCGTACATCCTACAGTGGGAAGACAGGTGAGGGGGGTGCTCTTCAGCTGCTGGCATACAGTCACGCTTGGTCAGGCCTCCCAGAGTGTAGGGAAGGGGAGTCGTCAGGCCCGCTCACACCTGTCAGCTGGCGTCTCTGTGTGCAGAGGTTGAAATCACCCCATTCTGCTGGCCTTCTGAATAGACTCGGCCCTGGGTCCTTCCATTTCTGGAGCGGGGACTGGTGATGTAGTGTTTTCATTCACTGTTACACAAAACCGGGAGCTGCCACTCAACTGAGTTTCTCTCTCTCTCTTTTTAAAGTATTTATTTTTATTTATTTATTTGGCTGTGCCGGGTCTTAGTGGCAGCATGTGGGATCTAGTTCCCTGATCAGGGATCAAACCTGGGCCCCCTGCATAAGGGAACATGGACTCTTAACCACTGGACCAGTAGGGAAGTCATTTGATTGAGTTTCTCTTAACCACCGACTTTTCCCTTTGCTTTAAGTTTCAAAACATTAGGGTACCAGGGGATGCTGAAGGAAGAATAATTATTGCTCATTTTATTCATCACATTACAGTTTACAAATCATTTTCCTGTTCTCGCCATGAGGTTGGTGTCAGTATCCCTGACAAGTCCAAGTCCTGGCTTTAGAGATGGAGAAACTGGGCCCGAGAGATGTGGGCCACCTTGCCTAGGCTCAGCTAGCAAGTGGTGGAGGCAGGACTTGAACCCAGATCTTTTGACCACCAATCCTGTGTTTTCTCTGTTTTACTGGTATTTAGGGCTCTCTTTATAGAAGGCCTATTTCCTATCAGAATGGAGGGTCTCTCTCTTCCCAAATATAAAAAAACACCTTTTAATGGTTGGTTCAGAGCATTCAGCTTGTACTCAGAATAGTTGACTTGGTAAGAGGGGGGAGTATAGAGGGGAAGTCCTGAGGAAGATGAGTGGGAGGAAAAAGCTACTAACATTTTAAGAATTTGCTTGATCTTGTAAAGAATAGAAGATCTTGCATAAGGAGCCTCTGCCTGCTTTTCTCCTGCTCAGTCAGTTCACCCATTTTGCACTTGCCTCAGGCTTCTGGAAGGTTCCAGCCACACCTCTCAGCTCGCTGCCACTCCTGTGACCGACCACCTTCCCTCATCTTTTCCTGAAGTGGCCCCACTGTTCCTAAATTGTCACTCACTGCCTTCCCCTCCACTAGCACATACTTACATATATCCTTTTTGGCTGCGCTGGATGCTCGCTGCTGTGTGCTCAGGCTTTCCCTAGTTGCAGCAGGGGTTACTCCCTAGTTGTGGTGCACAGGTTTCTCACTGCGTGGCTTTTCTTGTTGCAGAGCACGGGCTCCAGGTGCACGGGCTTCAGTAATTGCCACACCAGGGCTCAGTAGTTGTGACAAACAGGCTTAGTTGCTCTGTGGCATGTGGAGTCTTCCTGGACTAGGTATTCAACTCGTGTCCCCTGCCTTGGCAGGTGGATTCGTATCCACTGTGCCACCAGAGGAATCCATACACACATATTTAATAAATATATTAGGCTTTGCAGGCCGTGCATTAACTGCTGTGTCTATTCATCTCGGCCCATGTAGCATAAAAGCAGCCATTGATGGTACACAAACAAATGGGCACAACTGTGTTCCAGTGGAACTACTTACAAAAACGGGCAGCCGAGTTGGACTTGGCCCACAACTATTGTTTGCTTTCTGCTGCATTTTAAAGAAGATCTGGGTCCAATCCACTTTCTTTTCCATTAGCCCTGGTTTCTTAAAATTGATGTTTCTTCAGGAACAAATGGTTCTAGTTTCAAGATGCCATCCAAATTGCCTTGGCCTGCACAAACTCTTTCGAAAGTATATGCTGCTTTATAGTATTGGTTGCCTACTCCTCAGCTGTTGCTTCAACGTTCCTTGATTTGTTAAAGTGGCCAGTCGCCATGAATAAGGATTGGTCTAAACCAGGCATGGAAAGTCTTTTTTGTCAGTGATTAGGTCCTGGGAACTCTGGGAAAGATTTTTCTTCTCTTTGATAAAAAGTGAGAGTCGCCCAAACCAAGGCTTTCTGCTGCTTACTAGCCTCCATGTTCCTGCTGTTACTTCTCAAATATGCTTTGAGTTGAGGTAACCAGCTGTGATCATGAGGTGACCCCCCTGAGAAGGAAAGCAGTGGAGCCACAGTGCCCACCCAACAGCACTAGTGCTGAACTTGTTAAATCAGATAAATTAAGAAAAGCCCTTATGGTCTTGATGCCAAAGAGGGGGAGCTGGCACATAGGAAGTGTAGTTTAGGCGATTTCCCTTCAGATGGCTCTTCTAAGGGCCTTCTGGAATTCCTGGAATTCATTACACCCTGTCCTTCCCAGTTTTGGCCTAGCTCTCTATTACTTATGCTGGTTGCCATCCCCTCACCCCTCCCATCTCAGCCATGTTCATATCAGGTCTGTATCCTGCTGCTGTTTACAGTCTTGGCGCATGGAGAGCCCTCAGACTTGAGGCAGTGCTGTTTCTGTCCTTCCTGCCCGTCTCTGTCCTTCTTGCATCCCTTGTCTTGTCTCTGCTCTGTGACTGGGCTCATGAGGTTCTGGAGGGCAGAAGCAGACTGCATCCCCTGTGGGCCGAGTCCCCACTAGGTTCTTCAGTACTGTTTAATCACCACAGGGAGAGCCTTCAGATGGCAGTTGGCCCATTCCTCCACATCCTGGAGAGCAACCTACTGAAAGTCGTGGACCCTGCCACTCCGCCCAGCAAGACCAGGTACTTGGCCGAGCAGCTTGGCTTGGCGTGACTGAGGAGGGTGGTGGTGGGGGGGCTCTGGCTACAGGGAGGGAGCCCAGGTTCTAGGAGGGTGGGAACCAGGCCATCGGTAATTGAAAGTAGATGTTTGAGGCTATGTGTCCCAGAGACATTCACAACATTTCTACCTTTCTTCCTGACACATCTGTCCTACCATGTTTTGATATGTTCATTTTAGTAGAAAAGAACCCTAAATTAATTTTTCCATTTTTTAAAACTAATTGAACATGCATCCAATAGAATAACTAGGACATCACAACTCCGGGAGTTGGTTATGGACAGGGCCGCCTGGCATGCTGCAGTCCATGGGGTCGTAAAGAGTCGGACACGACTGAGCAACTGAACTGAACTGAACTGATTTGGTGTTAAAGTAGCCCCAAACAATGATAGTTGCTTAATAGATTGTTTAAACACCTTCATTGAGTATATTGGAAGATAGGAATTCTCCTGGGCATTTAAAAATGTTGTAAGTGGCTTGTGAACTTCCATAGCCACTTTTGGGGTGCCTGGAACTCCAGGTTAGGGACCATGGATTTGGAATGTGTGTCCAAGGCACTTGGTAAACAAAGTGTGGTCTGCAGATAAACAGCTTCACCATCACCTGAGATTGTTTGATTTTCCACCACAGCCTGACCCACTGGATCAGAGTCTGCCTTTTAACAAGACTCCCAGGTGGTGTGTAGGCCCCCTGATATTGGAGAAAACACTTTGCGACCCCATGGACTGTATCCCACCAGGTTCCTCTGTCCATGGAATTCTCTAGGCAGGAGTACTGGAGTGAGTAGCCATTCCCTTCTCCAGAGGAAACTTCCCAACCCAGGGATCGAACCTGGGTCTCCTGCATTGTGGGCAGATTTTTCACTGTTTGAGTCACTAGGAAAGGCCATCTACTCCAAAGGAGTTTGTTTGGTTTTTTCCTCACATTTATTTATTTGGTTGTGCTGGGTCTTCATTGCAGCACGCAGGCTCCAGTAGTTGCTCCAGAGCACGTGAGATCTTAGTTCCAGGACCAGGGATCAAACCCATGTCCCCTGCATAGCACGCTGGATTCTTAACCGCTGGACTACCAGGAAAGTCCCTCAAAGGAGATTTATACCAGGCTCAACTGATTTCTAGATGTCACCCGGTTTCCTCACTCAAAGGAGGCAGGTGATGTCCCGGCCTCCAGAGTCCTGAGGTGAAGAACTATGGAGAACTGTTTTCTTCTTGCAGGAAGCTGTACCTCTATGCAGCTCACGATGTGACCCTCATGCCTCTGTTAATTACCCTGGGAATTTTTGACCACAAATGGCCCCCATTTGCTGTGGACCTGACCATGGAACTCTACCAGCACCGGGAGTCTAAGGAGTGGTTTGTGCAGCTCTATTACCAAGGGAAGGTAAGACCTCTGGGGTATGGTTGGGAGGCGGCTGGGCCACTTGGCCCACCCGGTTTAGCACCAAGTTGCCTGCTTGGGCCCAGGGAGTCTCCACTGGTACATAAGTTCTCTGGATCCTCTCATGGCTGTGGCCCAGGGATAAGGCAGAACTGGGTCCATAGTGGCAGGCTTTGGCTGGAACAATGTCCTGGTTCTGCCACAGAACCCTTCTAACAACAGGACCACCCTTCTCTTCTCCTGAGGGTCTCTCCCAGGATGTAAGTCCTGACTGTGAGGCCTGTTTTGAAAATTAATATGATGAGGTCTTTGGGAGGTGATGTGTACTATCAACACCTCTGGTGCCTTGGCCACTTCAGCAGGTTTCTGTCCAGGGCACAGGCTGAACACTCCCTAAGGTCAGACCTCTAGCCTTCCCAGGGGTATAACATCAATGTGTCTTCCAGTCAGTTCAACCAACAGTTACTAAGTGACTTTCATGAGCAGGGCATAGTGCTTTTAATCTGGAAGCTGACTGATTAATGGGGGCTTCTTGGCTGTTACATATGTACGTATACATCTGATTGGGTCAGAGCCTTTTAGAACTCTGGACACAGGTGAAAACAGCTAGACAGGGTCCCCAGTACCACTGCTGAGTTACATCTCTTCCACAGGAGCAAGTGCCAAAAGGTTGCCCTGACCGGCTCTGTCCACTGGACAAGTTCTTGAATACCATGTCAGTTTATACGTTAAGCCCAGAAAAATACCACATGCTCTGCTCTGAAGCACAAGTGATGGGACTTGGAGATGGAGAGTGATTGATTTGTACAAGTAAGATGTCTGGAATTTTAAAATAAAACGCCTTTACACAATGCCTCCAGCTGTTTGGTTTGGGGAAGGTAGGAACAAGGGTTAATGGACTTTAACATAAGGTAAGGGTACTTCTTTCCTATAGGTATATTAAGGTCTCTTCTTGAAAGGAAAAGGGTATAATGTTGAGACCAAAAGGATGTATCCTATTTTGTGGCTTGATTTCCATGGCAACTGCCTGTGACATGGGGCTTCCCTGGTGGCTCAGATGGTAAAGAATCTGCCTGCAATGTGGAAGACTGGGTTCCATCCCTGGTTTGGGAAGATCCCCTGGAAAAGGGGATGGCTACCCACTCCAGTATTCTTACCTGGTGAATTCCATGGGCAGAGGAGCCTAGTGGGCTACAGTTCATGGGGTTGCAAAGAGTCGGACATGACTGAGCGACTAACACTTTCCTTTTCTTGCCTGAGACATGAGCTATGGAGTTGCATGTGGTTTTGGACCTCAGTTCTTTTCCTGTCTTCATTTCACACACATATATTGGACACCTACTAAGTCATGGTCATTATAAGGGTGAAAGGTTTCTGCCCTCAAGTTTTTTCAGTCCAGTAGGAGAGGCAGATAAAGTATATCAGTGATGACAATACAGTATGGTTCATCCTGTGATAAGGTACATCGAGGGCTATCTGGGTTCAGAGATGACACCTTCAGCCCTGATTGGCAGGGGCTGGGGGGAGCAGTTAAAGGTTTTTTGGCAGGTTCTGCCCTGACCTGAATAGAGAAAAATGAGTGAGTTGTAGTTAACCAGTTAAGTAAGGAGAAAAGAGTGTCATGTAAAAGGTCAGCTAACCAGGTAAGCAAGGAGGAAAGGGTGTCATGTGAAAGGTCAGGGCGCATAGCTGGACAGTGAGGTGGAGCCCTGCTGTGGAGACCCAGCGGGGAGGTCACTGGCTTCTGGTGGCTGTAGCTTTAGGAGTGTAGGTGAGGTCTCCACATGGTGGGTCAGGACCACTCTCAGCATATGTGCTCCACCTTGACATGGGCCTCCAAAATTACTTGATGGTCCCCTATTTCCTTTTCAATTTTCTCATTCTTTCCCAGAAGCTATTTCAAACTTTCTCTGACCTCAAACCATCCCTTTACTTCTCAGAGAAAACAGCAAGCACAAAAACATCTCTGCTTCCCACTGTCTTTATGGTGATGACTCCCAGGTCTCCTTCTCGAGTTCAGGTTTTTTCTTCCAAGCTTCAGACCCTCATGTCCACTTGGATGTCCCATAGACACAGAATTTTCCCTCTCTCCTCCTAGACCTGCCGTCCCCACAAGCCTGCCTTATTTGAATGGAAGACATCTCCACCATCCACTCAGAAATCTATCCTTATCTCCTTCCTCTCACATTTCTCTGTCTGATCTGTTAAGTTCTATTAAACCCACCTGTTTATGTCTTAAATACATTAATATCTTCTTATCCTCAACCTTCAATATCCCTTCACCCTACTAATTGCTGTGTTTATTTCACTAAGAAAGTAAAAGCAATCAGAAGAGAACTTCCATCTCCATCACCCCACCCCAACCTGCTAACCCAGCTGCACTGGTACCTACAAGGCCCTCCTTCCTGTTACTAAGAATGAACCATTCCTACTCCTATCGAAGGCCAACCCTCCAGCTTTGCTTTAATTCCTGTAATTATTTCTTTCCTGTATTGTTAATTTTCTCTTCCTACCAGTTATTCCCATTAGCTTACAAACATGCCGTAAAATCTCCTGTCTTGAAAAATGTTTCCCACATCTTTGAAGTACTCTGCTATTTTCTTTTCCCCTTTATAACAAAACTTCTCAAAAGAGTTGTTTATACCCTGATTCTTCCGTTCCCCGTCTCTCTTGAACCAACTGTGATTTGGCGTTCACCCCTACCACTCCATGGAAACAGCTTTGTTAAAATCATCAGTGACCTCTGAGTGCTAAATCAGTAGCCAGTTTTCATTCTTCTTACTCAACTTCTCATTAGCACTCTTGGAATAGTTTCTTCATTTGGCTTCTATGGCAAATTGTTTTCCTCACTTCTTCTCAGTATTCTCTGAATCTACCTTTTAAAAATCTCTAAATGTTGGAATATCTCAAGGCTTAGTCCTTGGACCTTTTCTCCTACACTTAACCACCGCCCACCACCACCACCCCCGCCCCCCCCTCACACCTTTGGTGATGTCAAGCTATTCTGTAACTTAAAATATTATTTACATAATGTCTCCCAAATTTATACCTTCATTCTGGACCTTTCCCCTGAATTCTGGTCTCATTTCCAGCTGTTTACTCAACATCTCTGTGTGGATATTTAAGATATTTAATGTGTATTACACTTCCCATTGCCTGTGCTGAACTCTTAATTCTCACTCCTCTTCTTTTCCACACCTTCTCCGTCAAAGTAAATGGCATTACCATTAACCCAGTTGGTTGGGCCAAGAACTTTGGAGTTACCCTTCACATCTGTCCTTTTCTTATGTCCTACATCTAATCCATCAGTAAATCCTATTGTGCCTTATCCAGAATTGACTGCTTCTCAAGACTTCCATTGCTACTGTTCCAGCAACACCACTCACCTGGACTATTTCCAAGTCTCCTGTTTCTGTGCTTTCCCTCTCTGCTAATTTATTCCCAACACTGGTGTTGCTTTTAAAATACGAGTCAGATCATGTCAGGCTTCTGCTCAGAATTCTTCCCAGGCTTCCCATCTCAAAAAAAGAGCCAGTCATAATGGTGGTCAAGGCCTTTATGTAACTTCCTTTCCTCCCCATCTCTTCTCACTGGGCTCCAGCCACACTGTTCTTGTCTCCCAGGAAGTCCCAAGGCATGTCCTCACCTCAGGCTCTTTGTACTCGCCCTTCCCCTCTCTGGAATGTTCTCCTAGGCATGGGCATTTTAGGCTCCCTCTCTTCATTCAGATCTCAGCTCACTGCCATCTCTGGGAGACCCTTCCATATTGTCCTATATGAAATATTTCAGATCCACCCCCTTACTCTACCTACAGCCCAATTACACTCTGTCTCCTTGTGTGATGGGCTGAATTATGTCCACTTAAAATTCATATTTCGAAGTCCTAACCCCCAGTACCTCAAATGGGGCTGTATTGGAGTAGAGCCTTTAAGGAGGTAGTTAAGGTAAAAAGGTGATACGGATGGGCCCTAATCCAATGTCTGGATATGGATAAGGAAGAGAGCATTAGGACTCTGACACAGAAGGGAGGCCGTGTGAAGACACAGGGAGAGGATGGGTATCTATAGCCAAGCAGAGAGGCCTCAGAAGAAACCAGCCCTGCTGCCACCATGATCTTGAACTTCCAGAACAGTGAGGAAATGCAGTTCTACTGTTTAAGTCACCTGGTCTGTAGTATTTTGCTCTGGTAGCCCAAGTGAACCAGTCCACCTTGTCTTCTTTTCCACTGTGGTTTTTCTCAGTGCTTGATATTACACATCTGTGCATTTATTTCTCTCTCTGACAAGAACATGAACTCCATGAAGGCAGACTTCATCTTGTTTACCCATGTGTCCCCAGCACTGAGAATAGTGCCTGGCACATGCTAGTAGTCACACATTGGTTGAGTGAGTGAGCACATTCCTTTTGCCTCTGCTCTCCTGGGCTCATGCTTATTAATTTATTCCCAACACTGGTGTTGCTTTTAAAATACAAGTCAGATCATGTCAGGCTTCTGCTCAGAATTCTTCCCAGGCTTCCCATCTCAAAAAAAGAGCCAGTCATAATGGTGGTCAAGGCCTTTATGTAACTTCCTTTCCTCCCCATCTCTTCTCACTGGGCTCCAGCCACACTGTTCTTGTCTCCCAGGAAGTCCCAAGGCATGTCCTCACCTCAGGCTCTTTGTACTCGCCCTTCCCCTCTCTGGAATGTTCTCCTAGGCATGGGCATTTTAGGCTCCCTCTCTTCATTCAGATCTCAGCTCACTGCCATCTCTGGGAGACCCTTCCATATTGTCCTATATGAAATATTTCAGATCCACCCCCTTACTCTACCTACAGCCCAATTACACTCTGTCTCCTTGTGTGATGGGCTGAATTATGTCCACTTAAAATTCATATTTCGAAGTCCTAACCCCCAGTACCTCAAATGGGGCTGTATTGGAGTAGAGCCTTTAAGGAGGTAGTTAAGGTAAAAAGGTGATACGGATGGGCCCTAATCCAATGTCTGGATATGGATAAGGAAGAGAGCATTAGGACTCTGACACAGAAGGGAGGCCGTGTGAAGACACAGGGAGAGGATGGGTATCTATAGCCAAGCAGAGAGGCCTCAGAAGAAACCAGCCCTGCTGCCACCATGATCTTGAACTTCCAGAACAGTGAGGAAATGCAGTTCTACTGTTTAAGTCACCTGGTCTGTAGTATTTTGCTCTGGTAGCCCAAGTGAACCAGTCCACCTTGTCTTCTTTTCCACTGTGGTTTTTCTCAGTGCTTGATATTACACATCTGTGCATTTATTTCTCTCTCTGACAAGAACATGAACTCCATGAAGGCAGACTTCATCTTGTTTACCCATGTGTCCCCAGCACTGAGAATAGTGCCTGGCACATGCTAGTAGTCACACATTGGTTGAGTGAGTGAGCACATTCCTTTTGCCTCTGCTCTCCTGGGCTCATGCTTATCCTCCCAGGTTACTCGGTGCTTTCCTATTGGGTCATCCCCTCTGAGATGTGGCCCCTGCTTACCTCTCCAGCCTCATCCTTCATGCCCCCTCACGCATCCCCAGACTGAACTGAACTATCCCTCTCATTTCTTTTTTTTTTTAAGGAGAGGGAGAGACTTTTTTTTTTTTTTTTTTTTTTTTAGGAATTGGTCCCCACAGTGGTGGGGACCACAAGTCTTTAGGAAGGGGACTCGGGTAAGAGCTGGTATTGCCATCTTGATGGTTGGAAACTCAGGCAGAATTTCTGTGTTGCTGTCTTGAGAATTCCTTCTTCCTTTTCTTGTACTTCTTTTTTTTTCTTTGGCCACACCTCACAGCATGTAGTAGTTCCA